CAGCATCCTTTTACTCTTCATCGCACTCCTCATCTTATTGCTCCTCAGGCTTTTCCTTCTCTTACTCATTCTTATTCTCCTTTTGTTCCTTCTCCTTTCTTCTCCTTTTTTCTTATAACCACCACCAACTCCTACTCCTGCTGCTGCTCATTTTGCTCCTGCTTCTACTTCTTTTGCATTTTATGCACTTGCTCATTCTCTCATTTTCCTCCTTCTTTTCCACCTCTTATTCATCCTCTTTTTCTTCCTTATTATCCTACGCTTCATCCTTCCCCCTCTACTCATTCTCTCTCTCGTTCTTCTTCTTCCTTTCCTTCTCCTCATCCGCTTTGCCTTCGTTCAGCGTTGCTATCAGAGTAACTATTACGAATCGCCCATCCGTGTATCATGGGCGTCCGCCGTCTCAGCTGTCCAATAGGCCAAGCAACTGCTTCAGCCTAATTGAAGGAGGTCGCGACCAGCATTCAGGCCAAATGAGCCCTTAAATTTGGAGTCAGATTAGCCTGACAACCGCAACACTTCGGGTACATCAACCCTTATTATGCTGACCAGCACAACTGTCTGCCTAAAAATAGTGTATGCCCAACTGTTGCCAAGGTAGGGAGCGTCTCTAGAAAGTGATATTAAACAGTGCTAGCGGTAGAGGCCCTGGTTACCCGGCTTGACACTCCAATACAGGAGTGATGGCCAACTGGGGAGGGGCATCAATCGGGTCGCGAGCTCCCCTTGTTAGGTCAATTATGTCATAACAGAGATTTGATGCTGCTCTTCCGGCCCGCATTAGGCAGACCGTGACTTCGAAGTCCAATTGCGACCTTCAGGCATCTGCATCATCATCATTAGCATTTTCAACCGTTTTTTAGGCTAGTCATAACAGACAGCAGCAACAGGATGAAGAGATAACAGGGCGAAAAAGTGAGGTGACATCCGTCAAGGCAACCGACTCCGGTAGTCTGGTACCTTCCGGCAGCAGGGGTGATCGACCAGTCTTGACCCCGGCCTCAGCGATTGGCGAAATCACATACACGCACAGACACACAAAACCCGCCAGCTTGAGCACAAGCCCCACTTAGTAAATAAATAAATTAGGATAACGCACCCATGCAAGGACACAG